TTCCCTGCCCCAGAGGCTCCAAGCTGGCTGGGCACAGCTGGGGAAGGTATTTCTAAATGCAGAAAATAAAAAGTTTTCTTGGCTTCAGCGCACAGCTGCCTGGAGGACTTGGATGAATCATTGCAGGAGAAAATCCCTCTCAATCCTTATATTTCTACTAAGTGTATGAGAGGGAGAAGGAGAGAGAAGCTGGGGCTGAAACAGTAAAACAAGAAATTTGGAAGAAAATCCCAGGCAATGATATAAACTTCCTTGCATTCAAACGTATGAACAGAGAAGTAAGATAAGATATTCAGCACTCACCACAGACCAAGACAGACTCCACAGCCTGAGCAGGAGTTTCTGTGGCAATAGAAATCAGAAATGGAGTTCTCAGCTCTGTGCCTTCTTAAAGAACTTCATCTCACCAACTCATTATTTTTGCTGACTTTTTACTTTCAAGCTCTGCTAGCCTCTATAATCCTGTTTAGTTCCCTGTTTTTCAGGAACGACATTAATACCACCATATTTGAAAGAGCTGGCTAAAAGGGAAGTCTGTCTTTCTAGTCCCCATTATCACAATGTCTGAATGTATCACAGACCTCAGTGTGAGGAAAGGCAAAACTTTCCTTTTTTCTCTGAAGAAAAATTTTTAAATACATAATAGTTCCTTAACCGGGATGGAGACAAAAGCAGAAACTCCATACAGTCCTTAATGTCCAGAATTTATTCTCCAAAGAAGTGGGTGGGAAACCCTACAGAAAGTAATAAACAGTACAATAATTGTGTAAAAGTATTCTCATGTGAAAATGTACACATACGTATGCAGGGAAATATACTTGTAAAATATATATAATGTTACTTTGGGAATATGGACTTTATATGTGGTATCGGTATGCATAGGAAATATTGCATACAGAAGATAGTATTTAATGCAAACATTTTATCTAAATAGTAGTTTTGTAAATTGTTGGTGTAATTCTATAACACATAGATGTGTGGGGGCTTTAGGGGACAAAACTGTTATACCCAGGTAAGTAGTCTGGGTTTATCTAGTTTATAAATGACAAGCTATTCTTTTAGTTATAGTGCAGTGTAATTTTAGATTAAGGTCACTGATGTTTTTATTTGTTTTGCACATTACTGGCAAAAAATGGCAAGAAGCTAGTGTTTCTCCAAGCAGTCTTGGGAACATCTAATCAAAGCTAAATTCCATTCTATGGACCAAAATCTATCCTCCATTTGCAGATGCAAACATAAAATAACTCCACTAAAGTCACAAGAGAGTAACACTGGGTACCATGCTTCTTATTTTCTATATGTTGTTTGGCCACACTGCAAATATAAGATTTTATCTGGCGAGTCAAAACATGGTGATGCATTTCCTTGGTGGTGTTAATAATCTGATGTTAAGCTGAATAAATTCCTTTGCTTTTTGTAGTCTTGGGAAATTGTCTCCAGAATGTAATGTTATACATGTGTGACCAAAATATTCACATGTGTACACAGTCCCATGAAACGTGTGTGGTGACCTACTAGCCTAGAAACCACCAGAACAGATTGGAATTGTTTAAATATTGCTTCCTTCTTGAACTAATCTTTCCCTCAAACAATCACAGCATAGAAAATATATTAGAAAGAATGAAGCTTACAACTTTGTGCTTTCATGACCTGTGAAAGAACACTGGACAAGAAGAAATCACGACAAAAATCAGGCTATAAATATTTGGTTGTTGTAACTTGATGGCAAGTTTACAACTAGTATTTTGGAAAGTATTCCTTTGACTGCTTCCAGGTCTTCCTACTTCTGTTATATATGCCTAAAATGATTTAAATGTCAGGTTAGAAGAGATCTAAGGAGATGGTCTACCGTATCTATCTCCTATGTACCAGGAGAATGCCTTTGCTATCAGGCTGTGGAGTAGAGGTGTAAGTACTTTCCATCCGTACTGTTGAAGCTGGACCACCAGGACAGCCAGGAATATGAGAGTCATAGGGACAGCAACAAAGAAAGCAAGAAAGAGGCAATCTGCCTCTGTAGGTTATGATACTGTCATGGGGGAGGGGGATCTGGGTTTGGGTCTCTGTTCCTAGCTCTGTTTGGTGTGGAACAATTAAAAGGCACTGACTGGAAAACAAAAAATAACCCTAGCAGCCAGAGCCAGAATCCAGGCCTCCTTTCCCTCAGGGGACTGCCCCACCTACTGGCTACTAGGGGTGTACAAAGCAGGCCCTATTCGATTCTGATTTGGCCTGAATCGGGGCGGTGATTCGATTCATTGATTCGGATCACTGTCCCTGATTCAATGCAGCCGAATCTGAAGATTCAATGCTGATTCAGAGAATCAGCAATTCGGACACAGACACAGCTATAAAAGTTTTTTCTATATACCTTAAGGTAGTAGGCACGGCTCGTGATCGCTGTGGTGCTGGGGCACGTGGAGTGTCCCACAGGCCTCCATGTGCTCAGTGGCGAACCCAGAAGTGAACCAGAAGTACTTCCAGTACACTTCTGGGTCTGCTAGGGAGTGCACTGGGGGACCCCCCATGCCTCCCTGACTTGATGTTTGGCTGTAGGGGGACCCTGGGTATCCCCCCAGACCCAAGCAGCACCAGTCATTGAGCCTGGGGGCCACAAGGACGGGGGGCCCTGCACACTCCCTGGTGGACCCGGAAGTGCTTCTGGTCCAGTTCCAGGTCTGCTGCTAAGTGCGCTGGGGAGCCCTCCATGCTTCTGTGGGACACTCCATGTGCCCCACCATCTCAGCATTCATGAGCCCCTGATACACAGAGGTATGTAGAAAAAACATTTAAAGCTGTGTCTATGTCTGAATCGCCAAATCGATTCAGAGGGTTCCGATTCAATTCGGAGAGATTAAAGGGTCCTCCATTTCGATTCAGATTTGGAGATTCGGCCACTGAATCAGGTCAAATCTCCATTGAATTGAATCAGGGACCAAAGCTTCACACAGCCCTACTGGCTACAGAGGTAGGCTAGTCTTGCTTTTGCACTTTTGGCTATCCAGTGGTCTTGCTATCACAGGTATGAAAGGTGCCCTCACCTAACCTATTCTGTATCTCTAATGTTCTGGGCAAGTGCCCAAACCACTAGGATGTTGGGCAAAAGGTAGGTAACAACAACCAGTTTTCAGCATTCTGCTGAGTTATAGCTTTTATCCACCCTGAATTTTGGGAGCTTAGACAGAGGTTGACAGCCTACCATGGACAATCTGAATCACAGTAGAGCTTAAGCAGGAATTAGCCATGATGATGCCCTTCAGCCTGAAGATAGTCTTGCCAGAGGAGACAAGGTGAGGAATGGAAGAAAAGTTACAGAGAGATTAAATGAGTTTCTTACGGTTTCCTAGAAGGTCAGTGGCACAGCTGGGAAAAGAACATGAATCTCCTGAGTCTCATTCCAGTGCTCTATCCACTAAATGATAATGTCTCTTCAAATTATTGTTATTACTAGCAACAAAGTCACTGAAATGAAAAGAAATGTTAATTAAGGAACAGGCCCCTCAGCAGTGGTGGCAGTCCCTTGATACAGGAATGAGAGTCTTCCAGTAAATAGAGAAGTCATTGGTGAGTTCATAGATGACCGAGGAGGCCAGCCCAAGATCTGCATATTTGACTGCACACATGGGAAATAGTTCCAGGAGGAAGGCACATATCCTGGTGATGTCTCTTCTCAGCTCTTTCCCTTGTCTCTCTTGTCTATCCACCTACTTAGTAAGGCAAGTTTGCTCGAAATGATCAGTGCCTTGTGTTACATCACATCACCACCAGGGATGATTCAGTGCTTCAGTCTCCCAGGTTTTGATATTAAAAAAATCACAATTCTTCAGACTAGCCTTCAAGATATCCTTGAATTTCTTTTTCTGGTCACCGCTATAGAGGTGGGTGTCAGTAAGTTGGGAGCATAGGACCTGTTTTGAGAGCTGGTTGTCAGGCATCCTTATGACATGTCCTGTCCAATGGTGCTGGTGTGGTATAAACACAGCTTCAATGCTGGTGGTGTTTGCTTGAGCCAAAACACTGCTATTCTTCTGTCCTTCCAACTGATATGGAGAATTTTCCAAAAACATTGCTGGTAGTAACATTCCAAAGCCTTTGGGTATTTCCAACATCTCATCCAAATTTCACACCTACTCAACAGAGTAGGGATGACAACAGATTGGAAAAAAGAAATTTGGTTTGGGTCCTAATGTCACGATCACAAAAGACTCAAAATTTCAGAGGCATCCAAAGGCAGCTGTAGTAGATTTTTATCTGATGCTGACTATTGTCATCTACCTTTACTTTTTGGGAAAGTTGGCTACCCAGGTAGGGGAAACGCTCAATGTTCTCCAAAGATTGCCCACTAATTGTAAGATGTGGAGGAGCAGCTGGTGAGTTTGGGGTGGGTTGGTAAGGTATTTTGATTTTATGAACCTGATAGTAGGTCCAAGCATTTCATATGCTTCACAGAAACAATCCAAACTGACCAGGAGTTCTTCAATTGAGTGGTTAAAGACAATACAATCATCAGAATGACAATCAAGGCAGTTAATCAATGGCGCTGAGGGAGTTGGTTGATGTCATTGCAGAGCTGCTAGCCATTACCTTTAAAAACTTGCAGTGATTGGAAGAGGTTCCAGATTATTTGAAAAGGGCCAATATAGTGCCCATCTTCATGAAAGGAAAGGAGGATGATCCAGGAAACTAGACCAGTCAGCCTCACCTCAGTCCCTGGAAAAATCATGGAGTAGGTCAAGGACCATTTCTAAGTACTTGGAGGAGAAGGAGGTGATTAGGAACAGTCAGCAGGTCCAAGTCATGCCTGACCAACCTGACTGCCTTCTATAATGAGAGGACTGGCTCTCTGGATGTAGAGAGAGTAGTGGACATAATATACCTTGACTTTAGCAAGGTTTTTGATACAGCACAACATTCTCTCTCACCAGCAAGCTAAGGAAGTATGGGTTGGATAAATGGACTGTAAGGTGGATGGAAAAGTGGCTGGATCATCAGGCTCAAAGGGTAGTAATAAATGGCTCAATGTCTAGTTGGCAGCTGGTATCAAGTGGAGTGCCTCAGGGGTAAGTCCTGGGGCTGGTTTTTTTCTATGTCTTCATCAATGATCTGGAATATGGGATGGAGTGCACCCTCAGCAAGTTGCAGATTACTCAGCAAGTGCAAACTGGATGGAGTAGTAGTTATGCTGGAGGGTAAGGATAGGGTTCAGAGAGACCTAGACAAATTGGAGGACTGGACCAGAAGAAATCTAATGAGGCTCAGTAAGGACAAGTGCAAAGTTCTGCACTTAGGAGAGAACAACCCCATACATTGTTAAAGGCTAGGGACCGACTGGCTAAACAGCATCTCTACAGAAAAGGGACCTGGGGGTTGTAATGGGCAATAAGCTAAGTATGGGCCAATAGTGTGCCCTTGTTGTGAAGAAGGCTAACAGCATATTGAGTTGCATTAGAAGAAGTACTGCCAGCAGATTGAGGGAAGTGATGATTCCCTTCTATTTGGCACTGGTGAGGCCACATCTGGAGTACCGTGTCCAATTTTGGGCCCCCAACTACAGAAAGAACATGGACAAATTGGAGAGAGTCCAGCGGAGGATGGAAAATGGTTAGAAGGACAGAGAATATGACTTATGGTGAGTGAACTGGGTTTATTTAGTCTGGAGAAGAGAATACCGAGGGGGGATTAATAGCAGCCTTCAACTACCTGAAGGGTGGTTTGAAAGAGGATGGAGCTAGACTGTTCTCAGTGGTGGCAGATGAGAGAACAAGGAGCAATGGTCTCAAGTTGCAGCAAGGAAAGTTTAGGTTAGATATTAGGAAAAACCTCTCTCATGAGGAGAGTAGTCAAGCACTGGAACAGGCTACCCATAGATGTTGCGGAAACTCCATCCTTAGAGGTTTTTAAGGCCCAGGTAGACAAGAAAGCCTTGGCTGGGATGAAATACTTGGGGATGGTCCTGCTTTGAGCAGGGAGTTGGATTAGATGACCTTCTGAGGTCCCTTCCAACCCTAATTTTCTATGATGGAACTCATCACAAGACTGTACTATCAACAAGGGACCTTGGCATTCACAGCAGCTGGTTTCAGCAAGCAATTTGCCCTAAGGATGTATTCTGTCTGGAGGTCTTTTTGACATGCACACAGTAGAACAAGGCCACCCCTGCAAGGATTTGACAAAGTAGAAGGAGAATGAATTTCCATTGATGGACACCTTGTAACAAACCTCAAATATGCTATACCTCTTTGCTGCAATCACTGATGGGATGCATAAATACTAGAATCAGCAGAAATAGTTGATGAGGAATACAGTCTGTTCCTGCATGTGGTGAAATCTAAACGCATGTACATTGACTTGATTTATAAGAACAGGATACAAGCAAACACCGCTATTAATGGTTAAATTGCAAATTCAGTTATCTGGAATCATATACATCCAACCAAGAATTCTGTTCCAAAGAAAAAAGGGGTAAAGCAGCAAAAGGTGGCTCAACCCTTATGGAAGTTCGGAAAAACCATGGTAGCTTAACATTTTTACCACAGCAATTTATAGGTGTGAATCACAGGATATTGATGCTGCTGTGTGACAGGTCTGGGTTTCATTACCCATTTCCTTTCCAAATTCCCCAGCCTACTTTGCCTCCTGCTTCTCACCTGCCATGACTTGATGGTAATCTGTATGTATTCAAAGGAAGACTGCCCTTGAGACTGGGGTAGTCCTTTCTTCAGTGCCTTAGGGCTTTTATCATGGCCTGCTTGCTACACCTATGCTTTGCTGATGACCATCTCTCATGCTCCCTTTTTCTCTACACAAAAATCAGCATTGGGTTCCTTAGGTCCCAACCATTGTTCAAGCTTCAGCCTTTTGGGCTTTAACCCCTTTTCCTTTAGATAAGACCCCTTGGCTCAGGGTCCACTATTTCAGGCCCTCGCTCTCTGGGTCTTAGCTCTGCAGTGGAGGGGTCCTGCCAGGTACCCCACTCATGGCTTCCTCCACCCTTACAGCCACTCCCAGTCCTCTGGGTTTTTTTGTTTGTTTTTTTTTACTTATTTCTAAAACAAAGAATCAGAACAAAAGGGTTGATTACCTTATTGCAAGCTACTTCTAACAATCCAGGGTTACAGCAAGGGTCACTACTGTCTGAGGTTCCTTCCCAGCTTCCAGGAGTTCCTCTCACTCCCACATCCACCACCTCCAGGCTAGAACTTTCCTCCCCTCCTAGCTCAGAGCCTGGGCTTGCATGCCTAAACCATGCCTTCATTTGGCACCTGGCCACTGCCCCAAGGGAAAGGGAGCTGTCCAGGTGTTCCTACTTAGCTTAACAGGCTGCCTGGCTCCTCCTGCTTTGCAGCCTTTCCCAGCTTCTTATCTGCTCATGACCTCCATTCTTGGGTCTCTTTTGAGCTTTCCA